TAGAAAATCAGTGAAAGACATGAACAGATATTTCACTGAAAAGCACATACAAATGGCAAATCATATGAAAAGATGTTCAACGCCATACATTATTACAGAAATATGAATTAAATACACAAAAAAGAGCTCACTTACAAACCTAACAGAATGACTAAAATAATAAAAAAAAGAGGTTTGCCTTACTGACATTATTTTCTTATATTCAAGGCATGGTATAAAGCTCTTACTGGTCTCCAGAAAATGTTGTCAGAGCTATCATGAGGCCTATGTGCAAAACTGCAAAGCTTCCAGAGGTTTCTGATGAGAGAAGTGACTTATACCCTTGCAAGGCTGTTTTCTTAGTCTTCCTCCCTCTCTCACAATGCGGGCCTAGAGGGTTTATGAAAAAGCACGTTTTTTAAAAAGGAGAACATTTATTTGTTGGTCCCCTTTTTTCTTGGCTTGCAAAGTTGAATACTATGAATGTAATGATACAGGCCTATAGGCTTAGGGACTCACAGAGGGTTCAAGAACTTATATATATAAAAAAAGCAAACTTAGTGATTTATAATTTGCTTTAAGAGATAATAAAATAACACCAAAATAAACTCGAAAGTTTATATAAAAATTTTAATCTGTCCATATGAACTGTTAAGTTACAGAGTTGGCCATCCATATCAGTGCATTCTATATCTGTGAATTCAGCCAGCTACAGATCAAAAGTCTTCAGGAAGGAAAAATATTGTGTCCAACACATTTGTACAGCCTGTCTCACCACGTAGTACCCAGTTTTTCCTTGGAACTCTGGCAACAAGAAGGCTATTATCAGATGCAGCCCCTAGATTGTGCACCCCCAGAACTCTGCTGCAGCCATCGTTAGCACCAGTGCCACCCCCAGCTCACTGAATGCCAGGCTAACAGCAACGGGGTGGTAGGGAAGAAATGTTTTATACCACGGCTCATTCCAGGCTGTCTATCTACAAATCAACCAACTTGTGAAGAAACCTTACACAGCTCTGGTAGTGTGACACTCTTTGAAATCAGACATTGTCAGAAGTCCATGGAATTATTAATTTTCAAATGCATCCTTCACAATTCAGTGAGAGAAATTGTGTAGGACTTTAACACATTTTTTAGATTCCAGAGTGCAGCTATTGGTGATTTGCAGTGTTTTCTGGACTTTTTTTTTTTCTTGTCACCATTTCCTAAACAATATAGTATAACAACTATTTACGTAGTATTTACACTGTCTTGAGTATTACAAGTAATCTAAAGACGATTTAAACTATATGGGAGGATACACATAGGTTATGTGAAAATGCTTATGCCATTTTATATAAGGAACTTTAGCATCCTATTTAACTGCACTACAAAAGGAAAACCATAGTTGATCTTTGTGGGTCAGCACATGCAGTCTAGCCTGGTCTGTTCATGTGAATGAACTTTGTCTCATTTCTTGTCATTCTGCTCTAGTGTTTATATAGAAGATAAATAAGATTGAAAGACGGGAGAAGCAACACTTAAAACAATGGTGAAGTACTGCATAATAATTTGAAAATATGAATCAAGACCCATAAGAATATAAAAATTCAATTCAGGGAGAATTAAACAATTTCAGTTTAAAATATGAAAATGTCACATATACATTATTCATTTATTCATTGCTATGCTATGGTGGGAGTAAAAATTTGGAAGCAATCTTGATTGTGTATAATAAGAATAAATTATTAAGATCTATTCTATTAATTCTCATGTACCTTTTAAAATAATGATTATGAAGATTATGTGGCAACGTGGAACATGCTTAAAATGTCCTCCTGCCTTGCGAGAAAAAAAAAAGCTAAAGACTATCCCATCCAAATGGAAAAAAACAGAAAGAAAATCTATCAAATGTTAACAGCTGTGTTTGGGTAATGGGATGATGAGTAGTTTTTTTTCTTTCTTTTCTCTCATGATTATTTTAATCATTGTAAATTGAAAAGCAATTTAGAGCACCCAAATTAAAAAGCAAATATGTAAAGCCAGAAAGAATGAAATGGGTTACTTTCAAGTTAACTGTCCTGAATGTAGCTTCACAAGGGAGTTCACACAGTTATTGCAGTAGCGGGGGATGGGATGGGGTGGTGGTGGGGTTGCATTGATGCTGAGAGTGATTGGGGTAGTTGGAAAAACCGTGGAATAATAGCAGGAGAAAGGAGACCCTCCCATCTCCAGCTGCCAGCAATTCAACCTAGGGCCTCAAGAACTGATTTCTGTCCATTCATTGTAGCGGTGGCTCTGGAGACTGCCTCCCCCAGGCCATTGTGATGGTGATGGCCTTAGTTCCCCAATAGCTCCCAAGAGGAGCGGGCACTTAATGGTGGAGCCATAGCAGCTGTCTGGCTTGGGGTTGTTGGTCATCAGAGACTGGCAGCCTGTGCAGTGTTGACCCTGGGGGTGAACAGTCCTCTTTCTCATACTCACTCCCCAGAGGCAATAGTGCCTCATTAGGGTACAGTTTCTAATCCAAACAACCATTAATCTTTCTCAGGGTTAAAAGGCCAGAAAAGCAATTTTTTGTGCGCGTGCGCTCTATTTTGATACTGTACTTGTCTGTCTTTTACAAGAGCAGTCTTACTTCATTGACCACTTGAAAATACCCCACAGCTGTGTCCACAGCTACTCAAACAATGCCAAGTCCAACACAGCCCTTCCTATGCAGGGAGAAGAGACAGGAGGGCAAAATAATGTGACAGCTATTTATTGTGACACTTGACAATAAATCATAGGAGCATAGCCTACTTGGAACAAATTAGTGTTTCATATCACAAAATAAATCAGGGATGTATATGTGTGTATATATTTGGTCTTGCTAAGTCGCTGAGTTGCTGAGGCTGGCTTCAAACTTGTGTTCCTCCTGGCTCAGCCTCCTGAGTTGCTGGGATTACAGGCATTGCCACCACATCTGGCTGAATGTGTACACATTGTAAGTGAAAATACTGCCATGTATGATAGTTCTATGAAAGTAGTATCATATAAACTCTTGAATATAATTTTTAAAATTTTTCTTGCCTTGAATTAATTCATACAAGCGGAGTTGTGGCTTGTTAAGAATTTTTTAAAAAAGGAAATCAGTAGGGTTGGGGTTTTGGCTCAGAGGTAAAGTACTTGCCTAGCATGTGTGAGGTGCTGGGTTTGATTCTTAGCATCACATAAAAATAAATAAGTAAAATAAAGGTTTTGTGTCCAACTCCAACTGAAAAAGAAGTATTTTTTTTTAAAAAAGGAAATCAATAGAAAAATGGGATTTGAAACTAGGAAGATGAATTTAATTGTTGTCTGTGCAACATGAAAATGTTTGGTTTACATAAATAGGCCTAGTAGCCTATCTCACACTAAAAATAAATGGTAAGTCACAAAATGCACTTTTCATATTTTTAAATCATAGGCTGAGGATATAGCTCAGTGGTAAAGCGCCTGCTTAGCATGTGCTAAAGCTCTGGGTTCAATCTCCAGTACCACAAAAAAAGAAAAGAACAAATATTTTCAAACTGTAAGGACCAAAATGATGGGTATCAAGAGAAAAAAAACATTAAGGCCTCCTAAATCTGTTTCTTCATGCTTGACCTTTAAATTCTTCCTCTACAGAGTCATCGTCAATATGAATACCAAACACTCCTTTTGGTGAGTCACATTTAGACATCTGGCAAATGTTAGGAAACGAATCAAACATTCAGTGAGACATAGAATTCATTTCTACATCTCAAATTATTTTACATTAAATTCCCTCAATTCAAAATCTCACCTTTAGGAATAGGTACTCTAGAAGATCTAGTCATAGCATTTTCAAGCTGGGAGAAGCTTTGGTTGGATGAAGTAAGACTCAGATAAGACTGGAGCAAAACTCGAGGCCATTGACCCCTAGTCTAATATTTTCCTAATGATGTAATATCACATTGCAGAATATACAATCAGCTCTCTTTTTCTGGGGGTTCCACATCCATAATTTGACCAACTGCAGATTGAAAATATTGAGGGGAAATATTCCAGAAAATTATAAAGAGAAAAACTTGAATTTGCTGCACACTGAACCATACACTGAATCTAGTGAATGGTATGCAGACACACCCTTCTGTAGCCTCCTTCTGGTTCATAGATCCTCAGTCTCTCTCCTGCACTAGTTGTTGGAATTTTTTCTGAGTCTTGTTTGTGTACTATGAAGTTAGGCCTATAATGATTGTGCTGAACATCGATACACATTATCCCCTTGTCATTATTCCCTGAATAATACAGCAGATAAGGTACTTACATAGCAAATTTACATTGTGTTAGGTGTTATGAGTAATCTAGAGATTATGTAAAGTATATGGGAGGATGTGCATAGGATATATGCAAGTACTGTGTTGTTTTATATAAGGGACTTGAATATTTGCAGAGTTTGGTATCTGAGTGGAGTTCTGGAACCAATCTTTTAAGGATATAGCGGGATAACTGTATTGTAGGAGTTCTTTAATTTATCTGGATCCTTTTCTTTTGGCGGGGGAGGGAAAAAACATGTATATATCTATGTATATATAAAGTTATATATGTGTATACTAAAAAGAAAAAAGTGAGAATAAAAAATAAAGTCTAAAAAAATATATGTGTATATGAATATAATATGCACTATACACATACATACATATATTTTTGCTATGCCACATACATTTTGAGACATTCATGAACAACCTTTACTAAAGTTTCCTAAGGATCTCAGATTAGCAAAGAGTTTTCTATTTTCTGCCTCATTCACATACAACTTCTCATGTCATACTCAATGATTTTCTTGAAAAGCTAGAAAGAACTTTAGCTAGATTTGTTCTGCAAGGGGTAGATGAAATTTGTTGGTAAAGTTTTATGCTTACCTTTAGGCACTACCATTGAGTTACACCTCTATACCCTCTTTCTCCTTTTTTAAAAATTAGAAAATCTCTTGTTTTAACAAATCCAAACAATATAGATGCTTATAAAATATAAAGTAAACATTTTCTCTATACCCCAAATTCCATTTCTCCAATGATAACTTTTAATATTTTCATGTGCATCTTTTCTACATGTAGATTTATGTTTACATATAGTTGAAAAAGTACAAATCACATTATACCAAAGTTTAATTTTTCTACAACTTGTTTTTTCCAACATTCGTTATATAATAGACATATTTCCAACAGATTTACTTCATTCTTATAATAATACCATAATACTCCACTGCTTAAATACATTATGGTTTATTCATCTGTATACTATTAATGATTTATTAGTTGATCATATACATACGATTAATGACTTATTAATTTATATACTATTAATTATTTCTCATTTTTTAAACCAATTTAGTGATTTGCTTGATTTTTAAAAAAATGTTGTGAGTCAAGTCAGCAAAGACAGCCTGCACTTCCTGTGGCTATTTATACTTCCTTAGTGGTCTGTTATCCTTCTGGGGTAGGGGACTAGAAGATGTAATGACTACCATGTAGCTTAATGAATACATAGATTGTTTCGGGTTTTGTTACTCAAAAAAAAATCTTTCCAGGGGCTGGGGCTGTAGCTCAGTGGTAGAGCACCTGCCTCACATGTGTGAGGAACTGGGTTTGATCCTCAGCACCATGTAAAAATAAATTAAAATATTTAAAAAAATCTTTCCAGAAACACCTCATCATATTTCTTTACAGACTTGTGCTAGTATTTAAAAATTTTTTTTGTAGTTGTAGATGGACAAAATGCTTTTATTTTATTTATTTTTATGTGGTGCTAAGGATTAAACCCAGTGCCTCACATATACTAGGCAAGTGCTCTACCACTGAGCTATAGCCCCTGCCCCTTGTGCTAGTATTTCTATAGGATAAATTTCTAGGCGTGCAATTACTGGGCACAGCATAAGTACATTTACATATTTGAAAAATACTGAGTTTTTGCCCATTTGACACATGGAATAGAGGCAGAGTATTCTGTGGAGTTTGGCACAGGAACACTAACACCTGAAGTCTGGCCCACGGGTCTGACATAGTGAGCATTTGTCTAGCTTATTTTATGGAAATAGCTTGAACATCAGGGAATCTCCTAGGATAAATTTATATCTACTACATTCAAACTGTAGCAAGTAAGTTATGTGTGGAGGTGAAAAGACAATTCTCTAGCCAAGTCAACTTCTGTTCTCAGAACTACAGTGGATGATGGCAATTCTTTCAATTAAAATGGCAACTAGTACAGTTTCATTGATGCTTCAAACAGAGCAGACAGATCCTCTTCTGACTGGGGACGGGGTGCAAGCTTGGTGACCCTTTCCTGAAACAGCAAATAAAAGGAGTTACTCAGGGCTTGCAAAAGACTGTAAAAGTTACTTGTTATGTACATTAACGTAGTCTTAAGAAAGAATGATTTGATAATAGTCATATCTTTAAAACCATTTCTTGTATGCTGTGTATTAGCTAATTACCAACTCAGAGGCTTATCAAGTCATGCCTCTTTCCCAAGGAGCTTTCAAAAGCTATTGCCCCTTGCCTTCTGCCCTGGACAAATGTATAAAATCAAACCAGCCATACAGAAAACACCTTCTCTAACAACCAAACCGGGTCTGTCAACAACCTCTGCCAATTCTCCAAGGGCAGAGAGTCCTGTCCCAGGCACAGAGAGTGCTGCCAAAGAAAACAAAACTATTTGTCCTTGACTTCTAAGACCATATATTTTGCAACATGGACTTAAGGTATATTCGAAAGAAATTCTGTAGGACATGAGCCATCAGGCTGTGTGCAACAAGTGATTTCTTTATTCCTATAAACTAACGTTTTACCTCTCCTTTCCCAAACTAGTTTAGTGATTTGCCCAGTTTTTCAATGATTATTATGAGTCAAGTCAGCAAAGAGCCTGCACATCCTATGGCTATTTTTACTCCTTCAGTGGTATTTATCCCTCTGGGATAGGGGACTAGAAGGTATGATGACTACTATGTGGTCTAAATGAGTAAGGGGCTCCCACTTTCATGGGAGCATACCTGGTAAACAGGGAGGCTCATTATGGGGAGAGCTCAGTTGTGTTCACTGCTCTACAACCTCGTGGTGACCAGAACACTTGACATACAGAAAGTAGAGGCTCAAGAGTTACTTGTTGAGTTAATGAAGATGGTGGGGAGGGGAGGTATTGTCATCTCAAAAGGTTACATGTACAAGACCAGAGTCGGCCTACCCCTCCCATTTTTCAACTCAGAAATGACACCCAGTAGCTCAGATAAAAACTTAGGAACTATCCATGAGTTCTCTTTTCCTTGCTCTGCAAGTTCAACCCATCAGCAAGTCTGTTTGACCTATGTCCAAAATGAATCCCCAGTCTAGAGCACTTCTCACCTCCTGTTGCAGACACCATCCTGCGCCTGTTCTGCCTGACCACCTTTTACACTTTCGCTCCACTATTGCCCCCTAGAGGTAATTTTCTCCAAAGCGGCCCTAATGATGCCCTCCCCCCCACCCCCGCCCCCTCGCTTTAAATCTTATTACACCATCTCAGTGCTTAAAACTCTTGGATAATCTCCCTGTTGTGATTAGAGCAAAATTATCACCTCTGATGCTGCCCTGGCCAGGTCTTGTTTCTCACCCCAGCTCTCTCCTCTCCCATTGTCTCATCTCACTTGGTCCCACTGTTCCTTTTAAATGTTATGGCTTTCCCCTCTGTCTGCAGAGCTTCATGTAGCTGCCACATTCAAGCAGAGGACTTCTCACAAAAGACTTCATCACCTTGTTGGGGTTCCCACTACATCATCCCTGCAAGGTTACTCTCTGTCTCATCATCCAGGTTTTCCTTCACATCATTAATCACTATCTGAAATTATTTTGTTTATATCTTATTTATAGATGTTCACTGCCTGTCTCCCCCCTCACTAGAACATAAGATCCAGGAAGGAAGAAAGGGACTTTATTTTCCTCTTTTCTGTATCCCAAACAATGCATGATATATGGTAGATCTCAAAAAGTATTTTTCAGTTAAAAGAAAGATGAGGGGCTTGGGCTGGGGCTCAGCGGTAGAGCGCTCGCCTAGCATGTGTAAGGCGCTGGGTTCTATCCTCAGCACCACATAAAAATAAATAAATAGAATAAAGGTATTGTGTCCAACTACAATAAATAAAATATTAAAAAAAGAAAGATGAAAAGAAAGAAGGAGGGCTGGGCCTACAGTTCAGTGGTAAAGTACTTGCCTCAAATGTGTGGGGCACTGGGTTCCATTCTCAGATCCACATAAAAATAAATAAAGATATTGTGTGTCCATCTACAACAAAAAAATTTTTTTTTCTGCATCTTTTTAAAAAATTTTTATTGTTGGTTGTTCAAAATATTACATAGTTCTTGACATATCATATTGCACACTTTGATTCAAGTGGGTTATGAACTCCCATTTTTACCCTGTATACAGATTGCAGAATCACATCGGTTACACATCCACTGAATTACATATTGCCATACTAGGGTCTGTTGTATTCTGCTGCCTTTCCTATCCTAAAAAAATTTTAAAAAAAGAAAAAGAAAGAAGGACACATTAAAAAATCAACTCAGGGCTGGGGTTGTGACTCAGTGGTAGAACGCTTGCCTAGTGTGTGTGAGGCACTGAGTTTGATCTGAGTAGCACCACATAAAAATAAATAAATAAAATAAAGGTATTGTGTCCCTATACAACTAATTTTTTTTTAATATCAACTCCAATGGATCCAAACCCCTAGCAATAAGAGAGCACAAACCTTAAAACTCTTAGAAGAATACAAAGGGGGAGAAGGATATTTTGGATATGAGATGAAAAACACAGGCAATAAGGGAAAAACCAGATAATCTGGATTAGATAAAAATTTAAAACTTTTGTGCATCAAGATACTCACAAGAGGGATAAAGAAACTCACAAAACAGGAGAAAATATTTGCGATCATACAGCTGATCAGGGATAAATGTCCAGAATTTTAAAATGATTTCTACAATTCAACAACAACAGTAACAACAACAAAACCCTAAACAACTCAATTCAAAAATGAGCAAGTAACTTGAATAGATATTTCTCCAAAGAAAATAAGTAGCCAGTAAATGCATGACAACATGCTCAATATTATTAATCATCAGGGAAACACAAATCAAAGCCTCAACCAGATACCACTTCACACCTATTGAGATGAACTATTATAAAAAATGGAAAATAAGGAGTGTTGGTGGAGAGGTAGAGAAATTGGAACTGCATGTATTGTTAATGAAAATATAAAATGATTCAGCCACCATGGAAAACAGTTCATCAATTCCTCAAAAAGTTAAACGTAGAATTACCATATGGTCTAATTCTACTCCTAGGTTTATACTCAGAAAGCAGGGACTCAAATAGACAACTATACATCAATGTTTATAGCATTATTCATAATGGCCAAAAGGTGGACAGAACCCATGTCCATCAACATGTGAATGGATAAACAAAATTGGATGTACCTATACAATGAAATATTATTCAGCCATGATCAGGAATGAAATTCTGACACATGCCATAACATGCATGAACAGTGAAGACATTATGATAAATGAAATAAGTCAGTCACAAAAGGACAAATATTGTGAGATTCTACTTAAATGAGGTACCTAGAATAGGCAAATTTAGAGATAGAAGGTAGAATAGAAGTTACCAAAGGCTGGGAGAAGGAGGAATTGTTGTTTAAGGGATGTATAGCTATTTGGGATGATAAAAGAAAGTTCTGGAAATGGTTGGCTGTATAACACTGAATATACTTAATAGTACTGAGTTATATGTGTAAAATTGATTAGAATGGTAAATTTTATGTTTTATGAACATGTGTCCACAATTACAAATAATTGAAAAAAAAAAGGATGGATGAATGGATGGATGTTTGGAAAAAGGTAGGGGATAATATTGATGAACATGAGTGAGGCAAAAGCAAAATTTTACATCCCAGCAGATCCTCCAGAGACCCTAAGGAATTTTGAAAATTCACAGCACGGCAAAGGCTTGTTCATGGTTCTATCTATCTATCATCTATCTATGTTTACAGCAGGGTTCACAGCAGAAGTTCAGCATTTTCTATGGCCACATGTGATGATTATCTCCATGTTACTCTGTTATAATGAGTCTTATCTGATGAGCTCAAAGTCCCTTTACACAATCCCGGTTTATCTTTAGACACACAGTTCAGGACTCTCAGAAGGACCTGAGGCCATGCCTGAGCAGAGTTGCTCTTTCATATCTCTAGCCTCCAGAGAGTGGTTAAATGCGGGCAAAGACAAAGTTTGTGATGTCTCACTAGACAAATCAGCTCTGCCATATGAAAGCTAAGCTCAGAATGAAGACGTGTTAGGCAACGTGCGGTTATTTATAGACATGTAAGACCAAGAACAACTGATTAACATGGGCACTGAAGTAAATTCAGACTTCTACTTTTAGTACATTCATAAAATAACATTTCAGCTGCCCTGTCTACCAGGGAGGGGAAGTGCTCATTCGGGTAGGCAGCTCTCCTCAGTAATGAAATGTTTTGATTTGAAATGTAAATGTTTCGTTCCAGGGGTTTCAGAAATTCATCTTGGAAGATTAATTTATTTTTGCCTGCTCCCCTTGCAGCCTAGCTACGGCAGTTGGAAGCCTCTGTACACAGGGCCGCTATTTGCTGCCACCAGTATGGGCTGTGGTGTTTGGTCAAGAATACTGGCCTGGTTGTTCCTTCCAGAGAAAACTGGTCCCTGGTTGCTGAACATAAAAGAATCTTTATCAAACATCGACTATGTGAAATAAACTGTCTGGCAATGTCCTTGAAGGCACTAGTGTATCCTCCTCGCTGCCTTAAATCCCATAGACACTAAAAAGTGAAGATCGGTTTTCTAGGCGTGTAAAATTCTGAAGTTGCAATAGGCTCCCTGTAAAATGTTCACTGCTGCCAAAGTGCAAAATAAAACAAAACCCCAGTCACTCTTCATCTGCAGAATAGACAAGCTCATTTCTAAGATCCCCTTTAAAGTCCTAGGAGTCTATGAATATGTGCATATATCTATCACATTGACTCCAAAATGGAACCCGGGCTAGTTAATTAACTTCAACTGTTTCTCCTAATCATGCAAACATGATCAAAGGGGGGAAGGCAGTATACACCTTGGGGCTGCTTTATGAAAACACATCAAGGGAAATCTGGCTTCCTACTTTGTGACATAGCTTACATTCAAAAGATTGCATTTACCTCCCATCTTTTGTGAAACTAAGAAATTCATTTTGTCTAATTAAGGTTTTGCTTCTATGATTTCTCTCTATGACATGTACCTGAAGGCATCCAGAATTATACCTAATTAACTTACTATTTTAGTGGATGGTCTCCAATGTTTCCAGACTAATGTTAGTCTGGAAGAGCTTTTGAAAGTGAAGGTCTGAGCACAGTAGAATTAGAACAGTGAACACTTGCCAATGTGTGCTGATGGCTGGGAGGTGCACTGTCACCAGCTATTAAGTGGCTAAGAATACCCTACAGTTTCATCTGAAAATCACAGATATCATTCTTGGAAGCAGACAAACACACATTTTTGAATACTGTCCTGGGTTCAACAAGCATAACTTTATAGAGGGCCCTTGCAGAATGGATAGTGTTACTGGGACTGTGCTATAGAGCTGGAAATTACATTAAAATCAGGATGACCATTCAGTCTATGGTGTCCCTGGACAGGCTTTCATGATTCCCCTGACTTTGGCTGAGTCCTAGTCAGTCAATCTGAGGAAACATCTCAAAAAGTTACCACCATCTAGCCACTTAGCTCACCTGGACAGAGGCTGTTAGAGGAGGGGGCTGTAGGCATGTGTTTATTTAGCATGTGTTTTAGGTTGTGCTAGGAGCTAAAGTCCTGCCCTTATGAAACTTACATTCTAGTAGGATTGGATAAAGTAACTGTGACGGCCTCACAAGGTCTTATTTTTTGGCTATTTTATGAGTTAGAACTAAGGATTTGTAGGTTGGCTCAGGGGCTGCGCTACATTTTGAGACTCCACTTTTTTTGCATTCAATTATATTTTATTTTTATTTTTTCATTATTTTAAACTATTTTTTAGTTGTTGATGGATCTTTATTCATCTTTTAAAATTTATATTTGGTGCTGAGAATCGAACCCAGTGCCCCACACATGTGAGGCAAGCACTCTGCCACTAAGCCACAACCCCAACCCATCATTTATATTTTTAGATACAATTGGATTCACTGGACTTTAATCTAAATCTAGGAAACTGGTGGCTCATGGTCTATGATTCATTTGTACATGGAGAAACCAGAGAAAACTCAATAGGAACATCTGGATTGCTTATGTTTCTTGAAATTGGAAGTTCTACCAATAGGAGGACCTGAATTTCTGCTTGATGATAAGAGTTACAGAATAGCTGTTCACCCATTTAGATGAATCACATGCTTTCCAGTTTACCAAAGTCCCCATTACTTCCTGTTGCATTAAATGACTTTGTTGATTGCCTAACATGGCTCCTGGTGGAAATATGAGCCGGTGAGCCAGATCTATACAAATATCTTACGTGAGTGGTGAGACTGTCAACATTCTACATACTGATACATGGGGATGAAGCAGTTAGTTTAAAGCCTTTACTACCTGGAGTAAGAGGGAAAAGAGCACTGCTACTTACAATATGCAGGATGCCATGCATGATATTCCAGATTTAGCTTTGTTTCAAGGTCAGGGAGAGGCCCACAAATGCCTTAACTTTGGACAGAAGAGCCCCACAATATTAAAGTGATCCCTGCCTTGCCATATCACTCCAGGCATGGTGAACACAGTGTGACCTACCAACTAAGCTCTCATGGCTCTGAGCTCTCTACTTGGTGATGAATTGCAATGAACAGAGTCTTGGCCCATTAGCATCTGATGTATCAGCTTGAGAGTTCCAACAAAGGATCAACTCTCTTCATGAGATTCTTGGGAGAGGGAAGTTAAAACATCTATATGATTCTGCCAAATAAAGAACGGCAGCTCATTTGATATTCTTTAGCAAAGTTTTAAGTAAATGAAATAAGACCCAGAGAAAATAACATTTGTATAAAATATACAATCTTCCAAATTCATTCCAAAGCAATTTTGTAATAGTTTCAACTTAAAGGGTGTGCCTATTTGTCACAAAATAGTAGGAATTTGTCACTCTTTCTAATGGAAAATAACATCAGCAGTCCTTTTGAAACAGCTTTGTGCAATTTTACAGGGGAATCTTAAAAGAACAGGAATAGGGAAATTTTGCCATAGCTCAAGGTTGATTTGGGGTTGTTTTTCCCCTCAAATTTCCATAAAGAATCCTTTCAGTTTTACCATAAAATCCTCACCTAAGCCACAGTTCTATGGAATAACATAAAGGCAAAGGAGCCTGGGCCCCTTCCCAAGGGAGAACTGCTGTGGAGGAAACCTGAGACCAGCTGCAGAACCCTGTGTCTCTATCTCCCCCTAACCCACCCCAAATGGAACATATTTTTCTGGAAGCTCTGTGCTTCTTAGCAGGAGTGGGGTCCATGCTGTGCCTCTTACCTGGGGCAACGTTCCTTTCACTAATGCAGGGATGTCGGCCTTGGAGTAACCAATGGCAGCGAGGCCATCATCAACATTTAAATCAAATAAGAATTTCCGGAGTGCGTCTGCCAATACAGGCCCAGCATCTTGGATCTTGGCAGTGTGAATGTCCGCTCCTAGAAGACACAAAATGCACACTGGGGAGAGAGGGTGTAGGCGGAGAGGAAGGCACAAGATCAGTCAGATACAACATGTGCACTCTTGTCTATTTCCAAATGCCAAGGATGAGGGCACCACTGTGCCTCCCTCAGGGTGGCCCAATGGTCAATGATCAACCCCACAGAAAATATGTTGGCAAGGCAAGACTGAGAAGCCCAGGGCCTCTGCAAGAAAAAAAAGTCTGCCAGGGCTCTTAAATTGACTCTCACATTTCTAAGGAACTGCCAATTCCCACATGTTCAGCCTTTGGGTGGTGGGAAAGAGGTACAGAAGCAATAAAGAAAGCTACAGAAAGGAAACCAGAAAAGAAGTCTGGTACTTGGGAGGAGGAAGGAGCATTTGTAGGTGAAACACAGCTTATATGATTTTCATGGCTTGGAATTTGCTGACATCTAGAGGTGTGCATGTTTCATGTCTTTTCTCATGCAACATCTTAAAAAAAGGCAAGACCTGGAACTGGGGATGTGGCTCAATGGTTGAGCACTTGCCTAGCATGTGCAGGGCCCTGGGTTAAATCTCTAGTAACACACACATATACATACATACACACACACACACACACACACACACACACACACCACGGGGTGGGGGCAGGGAGTAGAAAGAGGGGGGCAAAGACTGGGGAAGAGGGAGGAGGAGAAGGAGGAGGAAGGGACCCTTTGTAAAAGCCTTGTGAGACAAGGATATAAAAGTACCAAAACTCCCACGTTAATTGCCAATAAGGAAGAAAATAGTATGACAAAAATGTGTAACAGTGATCAGGGAGGGAAATATTTCCTTTTTATAGCTAGAAACTTCTTATTTTTGTCTTTGTTGCCAAAGGGCAGGGAAGTTTCCTTTTAATAAATATTACAGTACCAGCTGGGCAGAAGCAAGAACATGAAGCCTCTAAGAAAACCCTGCTTCATATACAGGTATTAATGATAACTGTGAAGTGGTAAGAAGGTTTGGAGATTTGTAAGGACAGAGTTTTTACATAATTAATAATTAATACACATAATCCTAGAGATGTAAGTCTGGAAGAGCCACGGGGTTCTGTCCACCTGGAGGGTGAAAATTCCCAGAGGAAGCACCTGCCTTGTTCCCCATCTTTTGAATGGACACCTTCACTGCCAAGAAGCAAATCACTCTGTGAACAGAAGGTAGCACTGCATGAAGTTTATCCAAAGTGCCTCTGAAGGAGACTAGAACGTTCTGTTCACCTACATGTTGGAGCATATTATTAAAACAGTTTAAGCTTTCCTTTCTATGAAGTGAGAACAGTTTTATTAATCTAGGGAAAGGGGTAAATTGAACCAGGAGAGCAGCTTGATGAAAGGTAACCTTGCCTGACATGACCAATCTGTATTACCCAGCAGCAGCTAAAACATGGATTAGGGAGAGGTGACATACAATGCAGGGCTTGTAATTTTTTTTTTTTTAAAAATTTAAGTTGTAGATGGACACAATACCTTTATTTTATTTTATTTTTATGTGGTGCTGAGGATGGAACCCAGTGCCTCACACGTGCAAGGCATACGCTCTACTACTGAGCCACAACCCCAGCCCCACCCCATTTGTGATGTTTTTATGTTCTAGGATGGCTGCCATAAAACACACCATCAAAATCTCTGGGTTTTCCTATGAAGTGTTTTTAGGAAAAAGAGAGAGGAGAGAGAAAGAGGTAGGGGGGGCAAGGGTGGGGGGTAAGAAAGAGAATCCATTGTCCTAAACCTAAGAAAATCTGAGATCACACAGAAAATCAAAATATTTAATGGCCAAATATGGGACTAATATGAAAATTTCCTGTGTAGGGAGGAAAAAACCCCATGGGTTTTTCTAGCCTGCATCTTGTCTAACAAAGGAAGGACTTTCTCAGTAATATTGGTGGTTGTCTGGAATGTGCACTTTAAGTTCTCTAATATTTTTCCCATTTTCCATGAATGCAATCTGCGATTTGCTCCTCCACTCCCTTATCTCAGCCATTTGTACTGTTTGCATATTTACAAAGGCAACTGTGTCCCAGCCTGAGGCTGAACGACATCTCCCTTCTAAAAGGGAAAGGGGACACAAGATCTTCATAAAGTTGGTGGCATGTTCTCACAGCATATGCTGGAAATCAAGCCTGGGTCTGGCTCTGGGTCCTAGGAGGCAGACGTTAATATGCTCAGCACAGCCCCTGGAACTCTGAGCACAAACGGGTAAGTGTGTGAGGGGAGTGAAGGGGAAGCCGAGCTTGCAGAGGATGTCTGCGGTCATTCCCACCTCCTTGGAAACAGTCTCTCTCCAACGGCTGGAGCTCCAGCAGCATAATGAAGTTTTCTTTTTAGCCTTTCCTTCCCCACCCTAAACCTGAGCAGGGGAATAAGGTGGTTTGCAAATTAATCAAATACTCGAGTCTGCTTAAAAGAGTTCTCATGTCAGAAAAACACAAACATTTTCCTTTCTACTACAGCTATCGGAATATAAGTTTTATTTCTGGTAAGATTAAGAAGGGACTGTGAATAATAGATATGATTTACTCTACAGTATGGCAAACAGTTCATTTGGGAACTTTTTAATAAAGTTTCTTATTCAGATTCACTGTGATTGGGAATTTACTCTTGCTTCCAGATTTAGATTCATTTTACTATCAATTCCACTTGACAAAAACCAATTATAAATTAATAGTAGGTACAGAGTTAAACTTTCCTTGAGCATGAAAGCAGAGAACATAATATTACTACAAATTTAAAATAATCAACATTTGGTTCTGTTTCATTCTTATCAGACTCTTAGAAACAAAAAATTATGGTATTTTAGTGCTAAGATAGGGCTTTGAGCAAATCACTGATTTTTTCTTAAGCTACTCCAAAGCAACATATTTTGGCATTATTCTTTATGGTTACCTTCAGAAGCAATCCTAGGAAATGCTCCACCTGTGTGGGTCACAGATTTATGAGTAATGGTTCATACCCAATATTTCTGCTGTCTCCAGGTGCCGCTCTGGAAACATCTGGGCTGTGAACGTGAACACTGCCGGGGATGTGAGCACCACAGAAAGGCCATGGGGCTGTGGAGAGACAGAGTGAAACCGTTCCTCCTCTTGCATTCTCTGGGTATTACTTTACCCTATATTCTATGCAGTCAAGAATGGACAAATATGGGTTGGAGTGTAGCTCAGTGATAGATATCTCAGGGGGTTGCATGCATGATGCTCTGGATTCAACCTCCAGGAAATTGTGAGGAATATAAGATTTAATTAAATAATATATTATTAATTATTTTTACCACCAGTGGGTGATCCACATTGTAATCCTTTGCTTTATATGTCTTCACTAAACCTGAAATTGGGTAGGACATTCCATGGCTAGAAAAGAAAAAAAAATGCTTATGTTGACATACAAATATCAGAATTCATATCAACTACACAAAGACACTCTTATGCGTGGGGGTGGGGGGGCCTTCACACAGAGATATATATTCTTTTTTTATTGGATGTAAGGATCACTGTGATTCACTCCACGTTCAGTGTACTCATTAATAAAACCTGTGAAATTTTCAAATTTGACAATCAAATTCAAATTCTACGATCATAGAATTGTAGGCCATTCAACAACACGCAAGCTGGACCATCAGGGATTCTTCCTTCCAGTAACTGACAGATCCTTTCAATGCCATTCCTTTCCAAGGGCATTGAATCATAATGTGTTAGGCTAGTCTGAGAGGTTGTTAGTTCAACTGATTTCTCTTGCTTAAACTGTACCTTAAGGATTTGTTTAGACTTAGTTTATCATCAAGAAAAACCATCATAGTTTTTGTTTTTACTGAAAATCTTTATATCCTCTTGGATTCTTAGTGGACAAATAGGAAGATGTTAATAGTATACTAAATGATTCAGAAGATAAATATTTGTGACAAGTTAGTATATTTACAATTAATTTGGTAAAAATGAAATGTTTTCATGAGTAAAATGATCTGTAGTTTTTTGTTTTTTTAATGGATTATCGGGGGCTGGGTTGTGGCTTAGTGGTAGAATGCTCGCCTCACACGTGTGAGACCCTGGGTTCCATCCTCAGCACCACATAAAAATAAAATAAAGATATTGTGTCCAACTACAACTAAAAAATAAATATTTTTTAAAAAATGGATTACTGGGTGACTTTTCGCTTATTTACATTTCATGGCAAGAAATATTTTGGTGAACTATACGAGTATTTATGAAAGGGAAAAGAGTGCTTCTAGCCCATCCTTCGTGAAACAAACCAGAAGTTATTGATTATCTGAGTTGTTGAGTACTTTGAAATGTGTTTTACCTGTCTTAGGCTCAGAAAATGATTGCCTGGTGTGTTTTTGTGATATAATAGATTTCACGGTCTCAAAGGTAACTTTTTATCAATATTCAGAATGTTGCTTTTATTTTAACAGTTGCCTATGTATGCTCTTTGTAGAAAACGAAAACTATCTGTAGTCCTATTTCCTTCTAGTCATTTTATGCATATGTTTAATTTATAATTTTATTGTGCATATAGTTTTATGCATTGCTTTTGTTACTTAATAGTCTTTGTAAGCATTTCCCATATAAATATGTTCAAAAACATTATTTTTAATGGCTTAATTTTATTCTTTCTTTTTGGGGGCATGATTTTATTCTTTTTTTTATTAATTGCTCAAAACATTACAATGATCTTGACATATCATATATCATACATTTGATTCAAATAGGGTACTAATACTTATTTTCCCCACATGTACAGATTGCAGGATCACATTGGTTATACATACTGTCATACTAGTGTTTGTTGTATTCTGCTGCCCTTCCTATCCCCTTCCTCCCCTCCCCCATAATTTTATTCTTAAAGAACTATAGTTAACCATTAATTATTGGAATTAGGTTGCACTAAAAAATTTCAATTGTAAATAACACCTAATATCCTTTCTGTATCCATAAGCAATTGTTATGAAATTTATTATACTGCAGATGTGAAATTGAAAAAAATAACACTTAGGCGAACATTCTTACAAAGAAATTTGTGGCTCATATCATGGATATTTCTTTAGGCTAGATTCCTAGAAGTGACTTAATTGGTTAAGAGGTATAAATATTTTTTTGGCTCTGGGTACATTTTGTTCACTTGACTTTTGAAAAGTTTTGCACCAAGTTATGATTACACCAAGGTTATGTTCTCATTAGCAGCAGAGTTTGATGATGACTATTTCCTTACACTTACCCTAGCAAAGGTCCATTTTTTTTTGTTCTCAGTGATCACTGTTTTTTAACTTTAAAGCAACATATCAATAAAGTTCCCATAAAACAGGTCAATTCTGGGCTATTGACAAAGATTCTGATCTCTCTCTCTCTCTCTCTTTTTTTTTTTTTTTTACGAGCGATTAGGGGAAGCATCCTACATTTGAGATTTTAAAAATCTATGACACATGGCAAGGCTATGGAGAAATCAGAACCCTGATCCATTTTTGATGGGGATGTAAAACAGTGCAGTCCAGAAGTTTCTCATAAATCTAAACACAGAATTACCATACGACCCCAGAATTGCACTCCCATGTATAAAATAAGAGAAATGAAAATATGTATACACAAAAACTGGTACAGGAATGCTCACAGCAACGTTATTTATCATATCCCCAAATCATAACAACCTAAAGTCCATCAGCTGGTGAATGGATAAATAAAATGTGGTATATCTGCCCAATAGAATGTTATTTGGCAATAAAAAGAATGAAATACTGATACATGGCTGAACTTTGGAACATTATGCTAATTAAAACAAGCTGGATACAAAAGGCCATATAAATGAAATCATATAGAATAGAGAAATCTATAGATATAGAAAGTAGAATCATATTGACTAGAGAATAGATAAACCTCTATATAAAAAAAAGTAGATCAGTGTCCTCTTAATACTAGGGAGGTAGGGGGATTGTTGAGTGAAAGATGAGGGGTCTGGGATTTCTTTTGGGGACAAGATGTTCTAAAATTGATGGTTGCAGAACTTTGTTTACATACTAAAATTCATTGAATTGTATACTCTAAATGGATGAATTATATGGTGTATGTGTTATATCTTTAAAAACTATTGTTAAAAAAAACTGTGATCCAATAAAATTGATTTCAAATGAAAAGACTGCTTAGGGACTTTAAATTAAATTTCTTCATTCTTCAGCATATTTAAATTTTACCAGTAGTCCTCAATTATAAATATTTGTTTTTAAAAGAAATGGCTTGAGTAAAGAAATACAATCTCATATTCACTCACCACAGATGAACACCGGCATTTCCAAAGCCAATGCCAGCAAAAGTGCTTGCCAAGTGCATATTAGACCTTGCTTCAAGATCATCAGGATTTCTGACAGCCCTGTGAATTATATAAATATTGAACAACAACACATCAACATTGGCATTTCCTACTGAATAAAGAGCTGCCTTAGGAAAAGATGGAGGTGGGGGGGCTAGAAATGCTACTTGGTAGGAAGAAAAATTAGGAAAGTTATTCAAACAACATCTTTTAAAGGAAAACCAAAGGGAAACATATTTTCTCATCAATGGTTTTACCAAAAGCATAATAAACATGCTGTCAGCTGCTCATGTGATATAAAAGTGCCAGGGGAAGCCAAGCCCTGATACTTGGACTGTGAGAGTTGCTCTAGGAAAGTGCCCTAAGACTCATTCTTCTTCTTCATTTGTCAATGACCTTGACAGCAGCCCTGAATGGATTTAAACATGTTCTCAGAATGCACCTTGAGCCTGTCGCCCTGGGCTGCCTGCAGTCCAACCCCAGCCCACCCAGTCATCTTTCTTCTTGTGACACTGACTCAAGTTGGACCCACTGGGGACCTCTTTTGGTACCTTGGAAACTGCACATCAACCCTCATATTGTTATTGTGGATGTGGGATGTTATTGTAGGCCAAGCCTTTGCTTGCTCTGGGTGTCCCTGGTGCCATGTGGAAAAGCAAATTCTCAAAGGCCCTTTGGGATTCAGCTCAGCCTTCCTGCATACATTGCTTGGAAACTCTGCCCGAGGGAGGAAGCCAGAAGACTGGCAAGTGAACCACTTCTACTTGGTGTTTCTCAATTTTGCCTTAAGTGAAGGTTCCTGTTATGACCAAAAAAAGTGCCAGTCTTTCTTTTCTCCTTTTATTTGGAATAGTTGGGTGCTTGTGCCTCCTTCCCCAAACCCAGTGTAACTTCCTTATTTCCCAAACAACAAGGTGAAGTAGCTCATGATGGGGCTTTCAGCCTTTCCTCTGTCCATCAGTGACTCTGCTGACCCTTGACCCTTCAGTCCCTGTCAAACAAACTGGCTCTCTGGTTATCTACCTAGTCCAATGCTGCTGTGCTTCTCTGTGGTTCTCTCATGAGCCTGAAACAGCTCCATGTTCCTCCCTGCATCTGAAGTGGGGGGCTCTACTATAAAATGTATTCCAAAGCCTGTAATCCCAGTGACTGCGGAGGATGAGGCAGGAGGACTGCAAGTTCAAAGCTAGCCTCGGCAGCTTAGCAAGACCCTGTCTCAAAATAAAAAATAAAAAGGGCTGAGGATGTGGATTAGTGATTAAGTGACCCTGGGTTTAACTCCTATTACCCCCCCCCAAAAAAAATTCTCCATTTTTTCTAAGTGGAGCTTCTAAGATCAAGGCCAGAGGGGTACCACATCCATATCTAGGCCTTACTTGCCTGATCCCTTACCCACCATTATGTGTAAGTACAAAAATGAGTGTGACTTTGCATATCTTAATGTTTGTTATCATTTTTCATTTTTTAAGTATAGTTAGTCTTCTGTGGGTTCCACATTCACAGATTCAACCAAACATGTATTGAAAATATTGAGAAAAAAAACAACAGCATCTGAACTGAATTCACATGGATTTTTTTTTGTTACTCCTTAGGCAATACAGTATGATAACTATTTACATAGCATTTGCATTATATCAGGTATTTTGAGTAATAGAGAAAGATGTGGAGTTGTGTGTCAGTTCTATGCAAATACTAAGCCATTTTATAAAAGGAAGTTGACCATCTGAAGATTTTGGTGTTCCAGAAAGTTCTGAAACCAATGCCCCAAGGGCTCAGAGGAATAATTGTAGATCTTTGCTCTCTCAGGAGCCTTTTGCTATTTGTTCTCTCATAGATTATGACAATAAATGCTTGTATGTACGTATTTGTATTCTTTAATTTTTTTGAATTATTATTATTATTATTATTTAGAGATGGGGTATCTCTGTCTTTCTTAGGCTGGCCTTGAACTCCTGAGCTCAGGTGATCCTTCTGCCTCAGTTTCCACAATAATTGGGCCTACAAGTGTATGCCACTGCACTGGACTATATTTGTATTCTTAAATCTTGCAAAAATTTTTAGGAATCCTTTTATATTTTCAGCCTTTTATATCTCCTGGATCAGCAATCTCTACATATATATTTCTTAAATTTAGTTCATGAGAGTTTACTCAATGGGTAGCTTCTGCCCTGGATTGGGCTCAGCCAACATCTACCTGCAGGCTCTCATTTCTGCCTGGAGAGCCAAATTTCAAGGACATTTTCCTTCACCCTAATTTCAGTTTTGAGGCTTTGAAGAATAAACCTCCATTTATTCTAATTGCATCTTCATAATTTAGGGACTTCCATTTGTCCCCTGGCAACCTTTGCCTTTTCAGACTGAAGCATCCAGTTTTTACCTGCCATCACCTGGATTTCTTCAGAGGTCACTAGTGTCTGGTGCTTCTCCACATCTAGAGGCTGAAATGGTGAACAGATAAGCTCTGGATAATTTCAATGTCTGGTACCCCATGTTTCATGTGAAGGTGGAGTGTAGTTTTTATGCTCCATCTCTATTCCTTCAGGGTGACATACCTTTTCAGGTACTTAGCAACGATTCTCAGTGCGTGGACTGCCCAAATGTCACTGATTGGGTTGCTGCCCTGGTACGCTGGCCGCGTGATGGGATTGGAAGGGCAGGGGCTCCGCATGTGGTAGGGAAGGGCAGTGTATGACTCCAGTGCGTGGCTAAAGAGAAATATTTAAAATATACAGAATGAACACATTATCTTTCTTCCTCCTTTCCCACATTCAATCACAAACCAGCAATCTCTCCACTGTGGATATGTTCATTAGCACTGAGATCACAACATTTCAGTTAGCCTCCTGTTCATGACAGTCTTTGCATAGCACAGAAATTAATATAGTCAGATTTACATTGGCAGCCCTACGGTGTTTTTGACCAGTATGTATAAGGTTGATTGATCAGTGGGTACTAAATCGCATTGAGGAATAAGAGGGAGTTAAGAAGTTCTTGTGTGCTTTTGCACAGTAGGGTGACTATAGATAGTAATTGTATATTATACATCTTAAAAAGCTAGAAGAAAGGATTTTGAACATTTTTTTTTGACATAAAAAATTGATAAATGCTTGAGGAGCTAGATATGTTTAACCTGATTATGTACATGTAACAAAACATGATATAGTACTCCATTAATATGTGCAATCTTTGTGTTTCAATTACAAATAAACTCAGAATTAAATTGACTAAATCATGTTATTGCATAATATAAATATGTAACAATGAAACTAATATGTACAAATATAATGCACTAATAAAATATCTAAAAATTATAAATTTAATTTTAAAAAATTACATGACTCTTTTCCAATATAAATATATCTTTATAGTGCTAAATTATTGAATAATTGAGTCATTAAAAAAACACTGAATCTAAAAAATGACTTCTTCATAGAAGATAGTTGCCATCTTATACCTAGCATAGGTCAAGTGTCATATTACCAAAGGAGGGTCATAGTTATACAGACTTCTATTAGGAGTGCAATGCCGCCAGGTGTGGTGGTGGTGCTCACCTTTAATCCCAGGAACTTGGGAGGATGAGGCAGGAGGATTGCCTCAGCAGTTTAGTAAGATGTGTCTCAAAATAGAAATAAGTAAATAACAAGGGCTGGGGATTAGCTCAGTGGTAAAAGTATTCTGGAGTTCAATCTCTAGTACCAAAAAAAAAAAAATTACAGTATAAAACCTGGGTATGGTGGCACACACCTACAGCTAGCAACTTGGGAGGCTGAGGAAAGAGGACTGCAAGTTCAAGGCTAGTCTGGGAAATTTAGCAAGACCCAGTGTTAATAAAAAATAAGAAGGGCAAGGAATGTAGCTCAACTGGGTTCAATCCCCAGTACCATCACCACCAGAGAGAGAGAGAGAGAGAGAGAGAGAGAGAGAGAGAGAGAGAGAAATATAAAGAGTACAGTGTAGCAGGCTTTGGGTCAGCGGTGCAGCTGTAAATCCTGGCACCAGATCTTCCTGCTATAGGTGTGAGGCACTACCCATCCTATGACATGGATAAATAATAGTACCGCTTCACAGGGCAGCTATGAAAACTAAATGAGTTGACCTTTATAAAGCCCTTAGAATAGGCCTGAAATATTCTGAAACATATTATTAACTATTATTATTAATTCCTGGTCTGAAAAATCTGATTATTTTTTCTTATGTGTTTCAAACTGAGGATTGGCTAATTTAAGAACTAGACTTCAGAACTACTTTTCCTGCTGGCTTGCCCTGAAGTCTAGCTCCTTATTGCAGAAGAGGACACTAGAAAAAGCCATCTAGATCAATGACGCTGGGACACCATGTAACATGAACTATGTTTTCCATGATTGATAGTTTCAGTGTTATGAGGGTTTACTCTTTTTTTTAATGTGAGAAGCAGAGAACACTTTTGAATAAAGTGCTAGAAATAAAAAAAAATTCAGTGACTAGATGGATGTCATGTGATTCTAAGTAGGAGATGTGTGAGAAATGCAATATGTTAAATGAAAAGTTAGGATCCATGTTAGGTCTATCCATGTCCCTGGTCTGCTTTTCCCACTATATTCTGCTACCTACCAAGAGACTACAAAAAATTGTATCCAATTCCATTGGTGAGTTGGGTTGGTGGTGAGTCCACCGGGGCCCAGACTCTAACAGGGGCCACACAGCATGCCTCACTTGCATCTAGATTTTGAATCCAAGAATCTGAATCCCTGTTTCTCAGGAGCAGATTCCCTAACCAAGCCTAGCTCCCAGAAACTTTGTGTGAAACCTGGAAGTCACATTACTGATTCACAATGAGAAATGGCACTTCTGAAGAGAACAGGCATCTGAGTCTCCTAGCCCTTCTTTCCCTTTAGACAAGCCTTGTGATGGTTGATTTAGGATCAGAGGCCCCAAAAGTCCTCTCAAGGGGTATTATCCTCAAGGTTTAATGCATAGCTGTATCCCCGAGGTCTTAGGGGAAGATTCCTTGGGCCAAATGTTTTCTTGTTCAGATGAGCAGCATTATGGTTTGGATATCTAATGTTCCTCAGTGGCCTATGTGTTGAAGGCTTGGTCTCCAGCTCTTGGCCTTATTGAAAGGTGGTAGAATCTTTAAGAGATGGGGCTTATTGGAAGGGAGTTATGCCATTAGGGGCATGCTCTTGAAGGAGATTGGGATCTCATCTACTTCCTCTCTTTGCTTCCTGGCTGCCATTTGGAGAACAAGCCTTCTCTGTTGTGCACTCCCACCATCATGTACTGTGCTGCCACAGGCCCAAAGCAACCAAGTGATTATGGACTAAAATCTTGGAATTGGTGAGCCAAAATAAACCTTTTCTCTTTTTAAATTGTGTATCTCAAGCACTTTGTTATAGTGACAGATGATTGACTAACACAAGCAATTACCCTCATTCTCCTTCCTTCTATCCTGCTTTCTGCCTTAGTTCATAGTGAATTCTTTGGGCCTGTGAGTTATTCCTTTAAAGCTGACTGCTTTGGGCCTTGATGTATTTATTATGCATTTTATAGTCAAGGAAAACAATCTTATTTCCCTTATTCCTAAGTAAATAGGCGACAACTCATCAAAGTTCTGACAATATTGACTAGAATGGAATTGGATACAATTTTTTTTTTATAGTCTTTGGTAGGTAGCAGAATATAGTGGGAAAAGCAGACTAGGGACATAGATAGACCTAGCATGGATCCTAACTTGTCATTTAACAGCAAATGATTCAATACCTGTCATGTAATCAACACTGTGCCCTGGGAATACCTAGAGAAGAGAATAAGATAGCTCTGTCTTCACCAAACTCACAATACAGTGTGGATACAGGCAAGTGAAGAGATGGTACCTCAGAAGAAATGAACCAGCCACCCAGGGGAGCAGCAAAGGATGAGTGGCCAGTTGTAGTTGAGAGAAGAGGAAGGGGCCAGCAAGGGCTCCAAATAGATGCTCATGTGTAATTAAAAAACAAGCTCTCCAAGCAGACAGCTGAGCACTGGCAACATGCCAGGGCCAGGGAATTTGGTTTTCAGATCGTAGGGATGGAATGCTCCTGAAAGACTTGTAAGCTGGAGAGGTACATGTATGCTTGTTCCTTTGTGCGTGATGCTCATATTGCAATATGGAAGTTTGTTCAGGCCAAAATGGAGGACAAATGGAAGAACTATGGGATGGAATTAGGAAAATCAATGAGGAGACTGCTGCAATAACCCAGGCAAGAGTTGGGGCAGACCAGAACCAAGTAGGAACCATGAAGCTTGAGAAGACAGAGCAGATCTAAGAGATCCAAGTAGGACAAGAGACAGGCTCTGCTGATAGAGCACAGTCATGAAAGAAGGGAGGAGTTCATATTGAAGTCCTGCTACTTGCTGAGCTAGAGGACTCTGGAGAAACTATGAAGTATGGGTTGGTTAAGAGAATACCACATTATATGAATTCAGGATGCCATGCATTAAGAGATGGGCCTTTTTTTTTTAATGTGCTGCTAAGGGTAAAAAACATAGCACCAGGTCATAGATTTTAAGATATGTCTTAATTTCAGAGATGTGAACAAGTGACAAAATGTGCACATGCAGATGGATGAATTAGGGTGGTTTGGGTCACACTGAATGGGAAGCACCTGTGGGGCCTTGTGAGGCCACTGGAACTAATGGCCTGGAGTTTGGAGTGAAGTCTTTGGTAGAAATCATGATTGGGCTCATGCCTGTAATCCCAGCAGTTTGAGAGGCAGGAAGATCCCAAGTTCAAAGCCAGCCTCAGCAACTCAGTGAGATCCTAAGCAAGTCAGCAAGATCCTGTTTCTAAATAAAATATAGAAAAGGCCTGGGGATGTAGCTCAGTGGTACAGTGCACCTGGGTTCAATACAAAGGAAACAAACAAACAAACAAACAAAAAGCAACCCTGATTGAAAGCCTTTGGCACATCGCAGCTGAAGCCAAGGGATCACACTGTGAGACTCTGGGCAAGTCACTAACCATCCAAAAATCTAGTTTTCTTTTTGTTTCCTTGAAAGTCTCACATTCTACAGTGCTGCAAGAAAGAAATGATGTGTGTCAACTGCTGACAATGAATACATTTGGGCTGACCTCCAGAGATGCTAGCTCCTATCCCTGCCCTCCTCTGTGGTGCAGCCCTGGACTTTCTCTAATGTGTGTGGCCCTAAAGGCAGGTAGTGTGGTCCTGAGACACTGCATGACACCTCACACTGCTCCTATTTCTGTGGCTCTGGCTCTGGCTGGGATGGTCCATCCTGAACAGCAGATTTGTAGCTCACACCAGCACACCTAGAGATCACCTTTACTGTCAATACTGTCATCTAGGAAAGGGGATAATGACAGCTAATGCAAGAGGCATCTGCAAATGGGTACTTAGGCAATAAAATACTGTCCACAGACCTGGGACTAAAAAAGTCCCCTAGAGGAGGAGAGGGAAAGGAAATGATAATAGCCAAATTATATGGTCATACTGTGTGCATGTATGCATATGGAACAACAAATCCCACCGTTGTGTACAACTGTAATGCATCAATAAAAGTATGGTGGAAAAAAAAAGTCCCTCCAGGTGGCACCAGTACCTACCAGAGCACATCGAAGCCACTGTTGGCGACCACCTGGCTAGGCATGTGGAGGGTGTGCAGAGGGTCAACGAGTCCCAGTGTGGGTTTGATAGCTCGTGAAGCAATGCCTAAAATAGGATTTTTAATTAAGGTGAAAGGCTTAGGCACCATTTAAAAAAAAAAAAACTAAATAACTTTAGGATGATACATTCTCTAAAAACAGTATGAGAAAAGGTTCATTCTCATGTAGGGAGATAGCAAGGAGCAGTAGAAATATTTGGAAACAGAAACTTGTTTTTTTTTTCAATAATGGGGTAGCACTACTCCTATTCCTACTGTGTTCCAGGAGCCAAGTGCACACACCTCATTCCAGTTCCTGGAAGAGTGACATCACTGGCCAGGGTGGAAATATTTACATCACTAAAATTGGTTAACACTACAAATCATTTTTTATTTGTATACTGTTAAATTGCAGAGAACTGGTTTACTAGCAGACCAATTATGTTTGCTTTACAACTCTGTGTCTTTGGGCAAGTCACTTAACCTTTCTTAGTTCTCTATACAATGAGACTAAAATAACCTAGACCTCCATCCCTCCCAGAGCTCTTGCAGAGATCAAATGGGATCATATAATGTAAATTTCAGAACTAAGTGTTGGCAATTATTGTTATCTTTAACAATGTCAAAGGGTAAGTTACCCTAAGTTTGCAGTTGAATGTCAACTTATTTTGCTGCAAAGGCCTGGAAGCAGGATACTGAACCAGATTCAAGGAGAGAGGCATTCCTCACACATTAGCCCAGAGTCAAGGACAAATTAAGAAGATGGGATAAAAATCACTAAGACAAAAACAGAGCAGAGATGACTTGGAAACAGGGTAGGAGGGACAAGCCACAACGACTTGAGGCAACTTTCTGGAGTAATGACAATGTTTAATATCTTGATCAGGGTTGTGGTGGGTAACATGGCATGTATATTTGTCAAAACTCACCAAGCCAGAAACATAAATATGTGGACTGTATTATATAAAAATTGCATTGCAATAAAATTGATTTAAAATGTAAAAAAAAAAGATAACAGAAAGGGAACACCCACTTATTATGGAAACATAGTCACTAACGTGAGCAGAAAAAAGTTCAAGTAAGACCCAGGGCATCTCAATATGCTTTTGTAGGTAATTCTCAAAAAACAAATTTATTTTTTATATGTACTTGGAGAAAAAAAGAAAATGTGTATGTGCATATATTCTCTCCTTAATTCCACAACTCCTTGGTTTCTAAATAGTAGGGTGAAAGAAAAGGGACTGGGGCTGAAAGAGAGAATTCATTAAAAGAATTATGGTCAAAATTCTTACCAGTTTTTACTTTCAAGCATTCATAGTCAAAAATGGCAACCCCAGTAGTTTCACTCCCGGTTCCTGAGGTAGTTGGAACTTGAACAAAATAATATTATTTTTAATAAAGCACCTAAATAAAGATCAGTGGAAATATTTAATTCAGCCTTAGAAATAAAGAAGCAAGTTAGAGAAGGAAGCTTTGCTGACACTGCTGCTTGCTTGATATCTGTATTTATATAACATGTATGTCAGCCTAATATGCATGATGTCTGTGCTTGCATTGACAGGCATGTATGAGGTGTGTATCTGTACTGTATATGTTTAACAAGTATGTTGATGTCTGTATTAGTGCACATACATGTTTAACATGTATCATGGCTGTGCCTGCTGAATGAATGTGTGTTTAAAGCAAGTGTCTGTATCTGTATTAATATGCATGTTAATATGCATGTTTTAGAAACATAACCCTAAAATTACTAACATATGTATCTAATATGCTTGTGTGATCTCTGTGTCTGTGTGAATATTCAGACATGATGGATATTATGCATTTCATGCATTAAAATGCATGTATGGGGGGCTGGAATTGTGGCTCAGCAATGGAGTACTTGCCTAGCATGTGCAAGACCCTGGGTTTGATGGTCAGCATCACATAAAACATAAGATAAAAGTATTATGTTCAACTACAACTAAAAAATAAAAATAAAAATGCATGTATGGTAGCATACATGAATGTTTGATATGTATCCTGTCTATGTATAAACAGGAATATTTAATATATATGGCATCTGCCTGCAGTGACATGCATATATTTTTCTGTGTATCTGTGCATGCATGATGTCTTTGTCTGCACTAATATGCATGTGTGCTAATCATTTGTCTGTGATGTCTGTCTGTATTAACAGTGATCAGCCCTGGGAGCCTTGGGTTCCTCCAGCACCAGAGCTCAAGCAGTTGCAGCTGGGTATTCAAATGCAGGCTGCACTGTACCTCTGTAAGAACACTCATATTTGCTGTCTCTAAAAGACATCTTTATTCCCTGTTGGCAGCAAGCACAGGAACGCTCCGCCTTTGCTGGGCTTCATGGTTTTGTAGTTCTGTCAAGTTTCTAAACTTTACTAATCACCCCTCTGTGTGATGCTGACACAGTTTCACTAGAGGGTTCCATTTGCCAGACCCCAATTATGCTGCTCCCTGCTGGTTCCTCATTCCTATCAAAGCAGTTCATCTGTGAATGACTCCCTCATGTCCCATCATAGGGACTGTTCACAATAGGGTCAGGAGAGGGAGAGAACAGGGGACAAAAATTGAACTGAGGACATTTCTCAGTTACCAGTTAGTGCATTTAGCTATAAAACTTTAAATAGTAATATGCCAACAGCCAGAAAGATGGGAGGGAAGAAAAGACTGGAAAATATCAAGGTCTTCTGTGGAACACACACTTTTTTTTTTTTGCTTCAGATTTGTGTGTTTGTGCCCTGAGAAGCCATGGAGCAGATGTCATCCAGAATGATGTGGCCATGCTGGCCACATGTCCCTGGGAAGAGACAAAGCCTGAGGTCAGCTGAAGAGCCATTATGTGGAAGAAAGGATTGAGTCACTGAAAAAATAACAGCAAATGTTCTCCTTAAACTCCACGGTGGCTGGCAAAATGGGACAAAACAGATGGGTTTAGAGGACAAGCCTGCCAACAGAGGGATCTAATCAAATGTCAATGAAGACCTTCCCCCTCCTCCGCATAGTGACTTCATAGCCTAAATCTGCAAACTTCCTCCCACTGACCCAAATTGTCTCTATCTGTGCAATAATGGAGATCAGAATTTTCAAAATGAATGAACTGCCATCTGTTTTTTTAATTTTTTGTCCAAATGAAGCATTGATTTGAAAGGAACAGATCAGAAACTTTTAGAAACATAAACCCTAAAATTACTAGCTGGCATCTTTCCTAAGTCCTTTTGCCAATTGTACAAATGAAGCAAACCAGCCAACATTTTTACCTGCAATCAGAGGCTTAAGAGGCTCAGACACGGGCTTTCCTTTCCCAATAGGGGCGTTGACAAAATCAAGGAACTCTGAGTGAGGGTTGGAGGCATATAGATTGGCAGCTTTGCAGGTGTCTATGGTGGAGCCACCACCCACAGCGACATAGGCATCAAAAGATCCCTTTCTGGCGAACTCAATTGCATCCTTGAAGCTTGGAGAAGTGGAAACAGAAATCACTGTTATATTTTTTTTTTGAAAATCATTCTCATGCCATTAAATAAGGCCTTGGGCAAGTTTTCACCAACAGTGATGGCTTATGCTTAAAGTGAGTAAATAAAAACAACTCTATAAATTTACCTTGTATCTGTTGGTTCCACCCTCACATCCTCATAAACCTGAAAGTTGATGCCATTCTTCACTAAGGAATCCATAACTACTTGTACTGGAGGGAGCCGGGAGAGGTTTTTATCTGTCATCAGGCAAACATTTTTAGCTCCCATGTTCTGCAGATCCTACAGTTAAAAAAAAAAAATGTTAGGTTTGATTGCACTGTAACTGTAATAGGCTCTTTGGGCAAACTTAACATTGTACATCTTTAAACATAAAGGACATGTTTTCCATTAGCCCTTGTTTTACAAGATACGTAACATTTATCGTAAAAGATTATAGGTATCCCAAATACTTGCCATGCCTACTTCTTTTGTAACTCCTGCTCCATATCTAATATTGGAAACAGCCATCTAAAACAAAGAAAAGAAGATTTTGGCTGTAGATTATAACAGAGAGTTGGCCGCTCCATTTCTGAAAACCTGAAATGTTCCTCCTTACCTAGCGAATGAAGTATATATTTCTTGGTGTGTTCTCCTAGGTCATATGGGCTCACACTTCTTTAAGGGAACCTTGACTCCAGTCACATTGTAATTATATATTTGACTCTTCCAAAGATCATCATAAACTCGCAATTGTTCCTTCAGCTTCAAATGTCTGCTTCCCCCAACCTCCACATCTAAATTAACACTCTCTAATTTCTTACTTTTCCATTTAAATATTACCTCCTGTGTATATTTTTTGCTCCTTCATCCATCTATCCATTCTTCTATCCACTCTTCTATGCACATGTATATCTGTATGTATCCAACTATCTTCCCACTCAACCAGCACTACTGTGTGCTATGTTCCAGGCACTGTGTGCTAGGTTCACATAACACTACTATGAGTAAGAGAAACATGGTCTCAAAGTTTACAGGTGAGAAACGAGCTTTCATACTGATAAATAATGGGTCATTTTTGGCCCAACGATATTTTATTTGATCCATGTTGTATTTAAATTTTTTCTTCTATTTCTTTTTAAAAATTGGCTAATAATTATTAAAATCCGTATTAAAAAGATCCAATTTGACTACCTCAGTTTTTATCTCTGTTGAATAATCTGGTAACACTGGAGCTATATCCTCAGGGAGCAGAAAACTTGTTGGGGTTGAGTGGAGACCATACCCTTTATATAGGGTTTGTGCTCTATGAGCATCTGGTAATATTTCAATTTATGACTTCTGCATTAGGAGGAGGGAGGGACTAAACAAATACTTAAAAGTAATTATGTACAATGTGATACATTTTACATAATAATCAGAATAATCATTCCTTTATTCTTGCTTCAACAAATTACTTTGACTTCTTTGGGGATTATTATAACTACAAAAGATTTAACAGATAGTATACATAATTCAGAGAATGTGTAGCATGGGAAGTATTTATTTACTTTTATTTATGTGGTCTGGGGATCAAACTCAGGGCCTGATGCCCTAGGCAAGTGCTCTACCACTGAGCTAATTCCCAACCCTTATTCTATTTTAATGGCTATATAGAAGACAGAATTTCAGACATTACTTATGTCTCAGAAGAATTATATTCTGTTATCCTCACAAGGTGCTTTGCTAAATAAGGATTGATCAAATAGTGATTATGGAACATCAATTAATAAGAGATTTCAAATGAAATGCTAATATGTTAACAAAACACTATAGTTGTATTTTTTCCAGGTCATTCATAAAAGAAAGAATGGGTTGATAAAATCTACCTCAAAGGCATAATCTGTTGTTTTCTCAGAAGATGAAAATCCAGGAGCTGAAAATGTAGAAATAAGTATCAGAGTAGGCCTCAAAAATAAAGCATATATATTTTTTTGACAGAATAACCTAGCAGTGAACATTAGCATCTTCATTGAAGTCTTGCCTACAATATATCAGGTTTCATGTTTGCATATCAAATTAAATTAATATCTATATATTAAGATAGAATTTAATGTTAACTTTATGCTGATTGTGTGAAAATAAAGAGAGTTAAAAATTTCCTCCACTGAAATTCAAAAAATATTTGAAAACATAGTATATATATAAAAAAATTCTCTGAGAACAACTGTTAGTAAGTCTATTACAGCCATTGTAATAATTTGTTTGAATTACAATTGTTTTCACAAATATAACATCACAATAATATTTGTCTCTAGCTTATTTATATTAAAAATTTCTAGTTTCCTTGATAAAATTTAATTAAAAAATAATAAATTGATATTTATTTGCTAGCATCAAGTTTTCATTAAAGCAAATACAAATTTTTCTGTGATACTAGAATAACAGGAGAGTCCCATCAAGTCTCATCAGTGAGTTTTATCTTTATTTGTTTATATGTCCTGGTCAATAAATAAAAGTCTACAGAATAATTTTCACTTTTTTTTTTTTAAAGACCCCAGAACCAGATAATAATCTTAATATTGGCTCCTTTAGGGCAAAGACACTCTTATCAAAATTTAAATTTCTTTGTTCCCTATACACTTTAAAGAAATTATTATTATTATTATTCCTGTTACTAAAGTTTAGGTAAAACAATAATTTGGGTCCTAGATAACTGTTGAGATTATTTTTCTCCAAGTTATTGATTTTATTCCTAAAATAGCAAATGACTAATTCTTTGTTAAAACCAAGGATTAGAGCAAACAGCTTGAAGCCAAAGTCTGCCTAAACTCCCAAAGGCCTCATAGTGGCATAGTATGCCTCTGCCTCACAGGGGCCTCATGGTACTAGAAGGCCTGGTGGCTGAAAGGTGACCCACACCTCAGACAGGAAAAAAGGCCGTGGTCTGTTCTAACCTCCCCATCCCACCCTCAGTTGTTTAGATTTGACCTTTTCTTCCAAGAGGCAAAATCAGTTTTTGTGTCAGTAATTCATGTGACACTCTGAGGACACACTGAAACTATGGTCAGCTTCCTGCTGCTCTGTGGACAATGGAGTTTGGTAAGGATTAAGACATTGATGGGAACTGAAAACTTTTGTCATTATTTTTAGTTTTTAAGAAGTAGAATGTCATTTTAAAATGGATATAAATAAGATTTTTCCTTCTAGGAACCACCTTATTTTTTAGCCTTCTTCTTTTAGCGATGTCTTACAACCTTACCAAGGCTTCATCTTGATTTATTCTATTTATTCTGTTTGATGACTCGAAATTTTCAAAATTTTCAGTGCTAGGGATCCAATCCAGGGTCTAGTGTATGCTAGGCAAGCAACTCCACCACTGTGCCTAATCCCCAGCCCAAACGTAGTCATTCTTAAAATCCTATCAGTGAATTTTTAGCACTGACAAATATTTTATCTATTTAAACATCATCGAACATCTATTCAGGCCAATATCATCATTAGTAGCATACAATCAGCTCCTCTCCATAGCTGGAGATATATATTACATAGAGAAATGGTTGTTTTTATCAGCCTTCTCTCTCACACACTCCTTGATTTTCTGTCTTTATATATAGCCCAGATGTACTATAAATGCCAACTGCAGAAACCAAAGTTGTGGCTAGT